CCCCAAAACCCCAAAACCCCAAAACCCCAAAACCCCAAAATTTGGCCAAAAATTGCATAATTTCCACCCAAAAAATGGACTCTCACCCTTTGTTCCTTCCTTACGAACAATCTGCAGCTGAAGAACTTGAAAAGAAGCAGAACTGCTTCTTACTGGCAGGCATAGGCATGAGCTTACAAAGAGTCGTAGCCCTGTACCTATTGAATAAGGCAAAAGTGTCCCAAGAAGGTAAAATAGAGGGGTTTTGATAGCTTTTGATGCTTTTTTGGGTGTGAATAGGGTATAGTGGGGGCACAGAAGGATGACCATCTGATCATGATTTTGGGAGCTGAAGAAGAAGATAAAGAAGCACTGAGGAGCTTTGGAGTTGATGTTAAGAATGCAGATGAGACGTTGGTAGTGAAAAGAAATGAAAGTTACTTAAAAGGCGGAATTTTTGCACCTACTTCTAAAACTTTGGTCCTTGACTTGTTGGCAAAGAAGTTGTCACCGCATATTATTAGTGGATTTGTGATCATGAATGCAGACAAATCTTTGAAAGGATCCAATGCTCAAGGAATTCATACTTTCATGAGTAACGTCTGCTTTTGATTGAAAATTTACAAAAAAGATAATAAAGACGGATTTGTTAAGGTGCTATCTTCGAATCCAAATGGTCTAAGTTTCAAAGGAGGAGACATAAAAGACTTTATGAAGGCAAGCTATGTTGATAAACTTATACTCTATCCTCGGATAAGGACTGAAGTAAAGGAATCTATCGAGGAATGACCGAAAAGTAACATAATTGAGGCTGAAATAGAAATGAATCCAAGAATGGGAAAATTGCATGAAATTATTATCAAACTTCTCCATTTCTGAATCGAAATCCTTGAAAAAGAGCTTGAAAAATTTGATTTGGATGAAGACTTCTTCACTCCCAATACAATCTTAAGCGGAAACTACAACCTTAAGCTAAAACTCGAACTAAAGAATGAATTTTTTGACATCAGCTCTAAAGCACGTATCGCTCTTCGAGATATCACATGCCTAAAATATCTTTTGAACACACTCCTCGAGAGTGATGCTATAAGTTTTCATCTCAAGCTCCTCGCTTGCAAGGAGACCAATAACCCTAACTCTATCTTCCTGACTGCTTATGAAGAAGTAGAGGCTCTGGTTGACCAGATGGCTGCTACTAATCTTGACAGAATTTATCAGATCAAGCCTAAGCAGGTTGACTCGAATCCTTTTGGAGCGAAATGGAAGTTTACCAATGTGGGTGTTCTGAATGACCAAAATGCTGATATCTGGGCCCAATGGGAGATGAGTAAATAAGAACGAAATCCTAGAACTTAATGGAGCTGAAGAAGAATTTGAAGGACACATCAGTCAGGATTGCTCAGGCAAATGGCTTGGCATAATAAAAATCTTCAAAGAAATGAACGAAGAAATCAGCACAAATCTAAAACTTGACTTCAAGCCTAGAAGTACTAAAAAGTTCGAAACTGATAGTGAAGAAGACCAGCCTGAGAAGGCCCTTAAGAGCGTGCTCAAGCCCAAGTGTGAGCTCCAGATGGAAACAGGGCCGAAGAGAAGGAGAGTCTTGATAGTGGCAAAGAGTTTGAGTCATTGTAAAGGTAAGGGTCCGTAGAGTGAGTTTTAGACCTGAGGAGGTACCTAGCGAGTGTTTTTATTGCGAAAGAGAAGGAATTTAAGTATTTTTCAAATAAATTGTCGTTTTTCACGGATAATTTTTCGGAATCTGTGAGGAGAGAGAGGATCCTGGATGGGAAGAATTACTCAAGAGAGCAGAAAATAGAAGCTTATTTGGTGCATAAGTTGAATTTTGTTCTAAAGCAAAATCGAGAGGAGTTTATTAAGAACATAGATACCATTAATTTCACTAAGAGAAGAAGGAGTACAGAGTCTAACTATAATACTGCTGCTGTTATTCAAAACTCTCAGACCAAAGTAGAGCCTAAAGAAGAAAGCAAAGGTAAAATAGCTTGCTAATAATTTTAGAAGAAACAAAAGAGGCTGAGCAAAACTCTGAATCAAAGAAAACAGAAAATGAGGATACCCTGGGACTATATGACGATCTTTACGATTTTGATCCAGAATCTTTTGATAAAGAGAAAATTATCACAAATGGGGTAGTCAATGTGATTACATTCAGGAATTCAGAGGATCTTAGTATATACCTTGACTCATTCAATCCCAATTACATTATCCTCCTAGATCCTAAACTGGAGTATTTCAGGTCAATAGAATTGTACAATGCCAGGAGGAATCTTGAGGCTGTTGAAGATTTCAGATTAAAAATTTACTATTTCATCTATAAAGATAGTACAGAGAAGTTCCATTACCTTAATACAATACAGAGGGAGAAGAAGGCATTTGACAGAATTGTAAGTCTTTTACATAAACATTAGATACGATTGCAAAGAGAACTATCTCTTGGGAAAAAGATGTTAGTTGAAGTTCCTGATCCTCTCATCGAAGAAAGAGAAGCTCTAAAGAAACTTCAAAAATTAAATAAGTATTCTACAGCAATCGGCGGCCAAAAGGCTAGGGATTCTGAAGATTTGATGAGAGAGCAAATTGTTGTAGTTGACGTCAGAGAATTTTCAAGCTCAACTCCTCATTATTTATACGATGCTGGCTTCTGGGTTATCCCAGTAACCCTCAACGTAGGAGATTTTGTACTTTCAAACAAAATAGCTGTTGAGAAGAAAGCAGTGTCTACATTTGATCTCCATCAATCATTAAACTCAGGAAGATTACTCAAGCAGATCACTTTTATGTCAAAGTTCTATGAAAGAGTGATTTTGCTAATAGAGTTTGATGATAATATTAACTTCAAATTAAAGGAGATGTACACCTACGAAGACAACGCATCTGTGAATCCTGCAAGTGTGTTTTCAAAGCTTACTCTGCTTATCATGAACTTCCCTAATATCATCTGTTTCTGGAGCAAAGGACAAAAGGAAACAGCTGAAATATTTACTAAAATTAAAGCTAATACTGAAAATCCTGATATCGAAAGAGTTGAGAGAATAGGCAAGGTCATTCGTGACAAGAAGGCTAATAACCCAGACCTCATGGAAATCAGTAAGTTATAATACTTTATTAGTACAGTCGAGGCAGAAGAAGATGATGAACTGAGAAACAAACATCTTCCCCAGGACTTCTTAAGAAGCCTTCCTGGGGTCAGTCACAGAAACATCACAGTCTGGTTTAAAGGAATCAAGAATATCACAGAACTGATCAAACTTTCAAAGAAAGACTTGATCGACCGCTGTGGAGATCATTTCGGCAAAAAGATATTTGATGTCTTGCACTGGGAAATGAAATAATTGTTATCTTGCTATTTCTTTATATTCAAGACTTTTCACTAAATCTGTAAAAGGTTCAATTGATTCCGAATAAAATGGGGTTTTGGGGTTTTGGGGTTTTGGGGTTTTGGGG